TTTTCATTCAGACAGGCTTTTAGTTAAGTGCTTTTTATTGTGTTTGTTGTTTTTATATCTGTGATCTGTTTTATTGTTTTTAATTATTTTTGCTTTCTGTGAAGCACTTTGTGATGTTTGTCTGTGAAAGGTGCTATAGAAATAAAGTTTACTTACTTACTTACTTACTTACTTATTGGTCAGCAGAACTGGTTTGATTTGGACAACCAGAAGAGTTGTTAATCAGGCATTAGTCTTTTGATTCATTTTATATTTGCTCTTAAATCACAACTTAATTAACTTTTTTATCATTGATATACAATGTGACCGAGCTTAAAATGCTACATCAGTGAAATTTTGATTACTTTTACTTTTTAATGTTTATTCTGAAAACTTTTTTCCGTTTGTACAAAGATCATGTGTTTTTTTCTGTTTGCAGTGTCGCTACACACTGCAGTACACCTACCCTTATGCCTATTACATGGAGTCAGGCCCACGCAAGAAACTGGTGAGAAAAGAGAGAAAAAAAATGTTGTCCTCGACAGTTTTTCTATTTTCAATCACACACATGAGCTGTGAGCTCAGTTTGTTCGTCGCTCTCTGCAAGTCTTGCCCTCCTTTTCTGTTTTTAAATTTTTGTTGAAATAGTTTTGAACTTGTTTCCCTCTTTAGTTTGAATACCAACAGGCCCAGCTGGAAGCAGAGATAGAAAACCTGTCGTGGAAGGTGGAGCGGGCTGACAGCTACGAGAGAGGTGTTGTGGGAGGCGAGGGCGAGCTCAGCGCCAGTGACAGAGGGGTAAGGGTGTAGGATTACAGCAGAAGGGAAGACTATAAGGTTGAGCTTAGAGTTATTTTGTTTTATTTGTTTATGTTTTAGGATCTGGAGAATCAGATGCACATTGCCGAGCAGAGACGGCGTACGCTGCTGAAGGATTTCCACGACACCTGAGGCTCCAAACGCGGCTGCAAAGCACCAGCATCTCCCTCCGTACTTTCTTCCTGGCCTCTTACGCTTCCTTCCATGTTCATCTGTTGTTGCAGTCACACTGACCCCTCCTTTTGCTTCTCTTCACATGCTCGTTTGCTTCCATTGTTCTGTTTTTTTCCCCTCTTCTCTCACTACCACAACGCTGCAGGGTCACAGAATGTCACAACTAAATCACCTCCACCCCTCTCATGATTTCATTTCTACTTCATTTACAGGTTTCTGCATCTGAACGTCACATTCACAGTGGTTACACTTGTTTCAGCTCCACATATCTGATCGTGTGGGTCAATGTTTGATGTCTAAATGCTGAAAACAGTAGATATTATCTAAAGCTAGTGATGAAATGGTGGAATCAGTTTGAGAGAAAAGCAGCCAGGGTGTGAAATTGTTCAGGATAAAGAAGCTTGTGCTATCAGGTGGATGAGTAAGATGTGTGAGGAGTTTGCACATTTTTTCTTGAAGGTGCAGATAATGGATTGCCACAGACGTAACATAGTTCTTGTTTACATTAACTCTCGCAGCCCATTACATGTTCCAGCTAGTAGAAAGTGATGCCACTGGTTTTGTCCTGTTTTCAGCCAGATTGGATATCTGTTAGCCTAATAATCAACAAAGCATAAGCTAATTTGATACGATTGCTGTGTAAAATACTGACATGATAATTCTGTATACTTAGTAAAATACTTAACGTGGAGGTAATACGAAATTTGGATTTCAAGAGTAAAAAAAATGATACATTTGTTGATAAATGGTTTCTATTTTTAGACTTTTCATCAGGGTTTCATAATGACTTCTCCCTTTTTGGTGTTACACCTGAATGGCAGGTGCTTCTGCCGTTCTGCTTTTGAAAATGGTTCAGAATGTCAAGATAAAACTACCTAATTAGTCCCATTATTGTGTTTTTATTGATATTATTGCTTTATTTTTGTAGCCAAATGTATATCCAAGCAAACTGGACACCTCTGTTAAAATCTAGCGTTGGCTCCTCCACTGGTCAGATAAAGTTGTTTTAACTCTGCAAGTGTAATTCACTACAGCACCTCCCACCGACGGCATGCAGACACCAACACACACATACGCAAAACACTCCTCGTTCACCGTTAATCTGTCTCCTTCCCACATCTCATGCACTCTTTTCTTCAGTCATCTCATTTTTTCTTTTTCTTTTTTATTTTCGTCTCCTTGTTCTTGTTTTTTCTCCTTCAGCTCATTTTGCTCACCTCTGTTTTGGAAAATGGCTGTTGATCATTTAAAAAAAATTGAAAAGGAAAAAAAAATTGCTGTAATTTTCAACGGTTGTACATTAATAAAGAAATAGAGTTACTGAAAGTTTTTAAAACCAGACCCTGCTTTTTGTGTTTGTTTTTACATTTACATTTGAACCAAACATGCAAAACATTTTTTAACTTTTGAATTTATGGCAAAAATAATTTCTAACATGGCGGTTGTTTTGTTTAATGTGGCAGAGTTCTATACTACCTTAACCATATCAGAAATTATTTATGGTGTTGCGTGTGTGTGTGCGTGTGTGAGACCTAGTTTCTTAATCACAGATAAAGAGTGTGTTGCTGATGGCACCTTCAGTGTTGTCCGTCCAAAGCAGGAAAGGCAGGCTTAAAATATAAAAGGGCTACATGAGCAAAAGTGGCCCTACGATTGCCTTCCTGCAGCAAACTAATAAAATTCAGCTTTTTAAATTTCTCACAAGGCACATTAAAATATTCTACAGTTCTATTTAAACTTTTATATTTGGACTAGAATTATTTTTGGACCATTTATAAGCTAAGTGTGTAATTTATGACCAGGAATAGTAAGATCTTAAATCCGCTTTTATTATCTTTAGGAAAATAGAGATGAAGGGGGGGCGTGTCGACCGGATGTGACGACATCGATGTCGGAAGCTGTCAGAAGACAAATGCACGTGTTTGGGAGAGCCGCAGAGAGAACATGAGTTTCAAGTCGAGGGTAGAAGGAAGACTATTGTTTTTGAATTTTTTATATAACCTTTTATTCAGTACTTAACACTGAGCTAAATCCCAAACCACTCGACTTGTTAGCGCCTTTAAAAGGCCCGCGAGGTGTTATATCGATCTGAGTGTTAGCTTACCGGGAGCTCATTAGTCTACGACAGGAGTAAAAAGAAGAAGTCCTCCGTTTTTGACAGCGGTGTGTTTCCCGTCTTTGTGTTTTTGTTTTGTTTTTAGTGTGTAAGGTGCCTTTTGTTTTTGGTCGGCGGAGGGCTGTTTGGGAAATCATGGCGGACTACCTCATTAGCGGGCAGACGGGTTATGTTCCCGACGACGGGCTGACGGGACATCAGCTTTTCAACTGCGGAGACGGGCTCACATACAAGTAATTAAAAACAAATATGTCTTTTCAAAACAAATATGGGAACAATGTATGGAAACATTACTCCTGCTTCTACTATGGTGTTTCTTCTAAGTAATTTTTTTAATCTTGTGACTAAAATGTACACCATCTGCTCGTTTGTTGTCTATGAAAAACATTAAATCCTGTTAGCATCTAGTCAAAGTTTTATGTTTTATTTTACTAACAGGCTGATTTCAAGTTGTAAATAAAAGTTGACAGCAGAAACAAACTGAACATTGAATGTAGTTTAGGACCTCTTGAGAATCAAAGTGGTGTCACTTTCTTTTAGTCCACACTGGTCCTAAATTTAGGACCAGTCTCATGTAGCTCTGTTACTATTCAGGAAGGAACATATTTAGAACGTGTTTATCTTAAAGAAGTAGGTACAGTAATTCCCATGTTAAAGTATTAGTTCACCAAGCTGAGTGCTCAGTTTCCAGATAATTATATTTGACGTTTTTTTTTCTGATTTGTTCTTCCTCATTTTAACATAAAACATTCCTCTTCAATAAAGCTAGTGAATGTATCCAGGTTTTTCTTAGGAAATTCAGGCAAAAATAATTTTGCCATTTTATTTTTGTATAGTTTCTCAGAATGTTTACTCGTGTAAAATTTCCCCTTAATAATTTTGAAAGACCATTACGTTTAACTGCTGCATTTGAATGACTTTTAAGGTAAAAAATAATAATTTGACGAGAAGTAAAATGCAACATTTCTAGCAGTTCCTCTTAAGTTAAAATAAATTATGTGCTTGTTAGTAAAATACCTTAGACTTTTCTAAGTCTACCTGGACTGTACTCCCCACAAAGGCCCAACATAGCTGGGACCAGAAGGAACAAACTAAACAAAATGTCATCTGTGAGCTTGCAATTTTAAATCACAGCTGTTGGATAAATTATTATTATTATTATTATTATGTGGATATTGGGTTATAATTAATTGGTCCGCTCCGTGTCATCCAGTTTAAAGGTTGTTTCTTTCTTTCAATGATTTCTGGTGTGACTGGGCCTAACAGCCACTTTCACATTCTGTGGGTGCTTCACACCCCTCAGAAACACAACACCCTCCAAAGGTTCCCAAAAAAGAAATGAAGTTATTCAAGCCTCAGTGTACTCTTTTTGGTAAACATCATCAGTCTTCACAGCCACAAACAACAATGAAATGTACACATTTACATTTCTGTACAACTTTAGATAGTTTTGAATGTCTTTATTGCTCAGTTTTTAGAAAAAAAATTACAAATTGTTAGTCAGTTTGTTCCCAGTTTTATGATTTTGGGTTGGGAGAAGTTTTGATTTAAAAGAAAGCTGTTGACTTGTTTTATCTCTCACAGTGACTTCCTGATTCTGCCGGGATACATCGACTTCACAGCCGACCAAGTGGTGAGGAAAGAATAATGCTTATTTACCAACACAAAGTCTCATTTGAGCTGATGTTATATCAAGCAAGTCAAACTCTCTGCTTCTCATAACAGAAATAAAACAAAACTGGTGTCTTGTGATTCACGTTACTCAAACCTTGATCGTAATCACTGTAGTCTCAGTCACGACGCTGTATTGGACACCTGTGATTTAAAACTTTAAAGATCCAGCCTGAGTTTTTAAACTGTGTCAACTGTCCAGGACTTGACTTCAGCACTCACCAAAAAAATCACCATGAAGACCCCGTTTGTGTCGTCCCCCATGGACACAGTAACAGAGTCGAACATGGCCATAGCGATGGCAGTGAGTATGGCACAAACACACACGGTCCTGGTTTTGCCATTCTGTGGTCGTGGTGGGACCAACGAACAGTTACACTCTTATTTTATTATTTATTTTCTTATCAGCTAACAGGGGGCATTGGCTTCATTCATCACAACTGCACTCCAGAATTTCAGGCCAATGAGGTTCGAAAAGTCAAGGTAAAAAGAACTTTGTGCACATTTTTTTTAGTTTTTTCATTACTGTACTCTAATCTTTAATCTTCATATAACCCTTACATTTCCACCTCTTCTTTCAGCCTCCTTTCTTTTTGTCAGTGTCATAACTTTTTATTTAGTAGATTTATCCTCACATTGTATTCTCTGCATGTTTTGTATCCAGAAATCTGCAGTGTGCTCGTAGTAGGATCTATCAGAACAGTGTTTTCTCGGCATGGCTTGATTCCCACCTCTAGAACGTTGCATTTTTTTAAATTCCCTTTGTTGCTCTTCCTTCTGCTGCCCTAACTCTTCCACATCCCTGTCCTCTGTTTGTCCTCCTGTCCTTCCCTCATGCCCCCCCCCCCCAGCGATACGAGCAGGGCTTTATTACAGACCCCGTGGTGATGAGCCCCAATGAGCGAGTGCGAGACGTCTTCCAGGCCAAGGCTCGCCATGGCTTCTGTGGGATCCCCATCACAGACAACGGGAAAATGGGCGGCAAGCTGGTGGGGATCATCTCCTCCAGAGATATAGACTTTCTGAAGGAAGATGATCACAGCCTGCCACTGAGTGAGGTGAGGAAACAGATTTTATATATTTTCTGTTTTATAGCAAGCACTCTTATCTTAGGATGTGGTTAAACTTTAATACCACCTGCGCACAAAGATATAAAGAACGGATGGACACAGACGGAGAACTTAATGACCATTGAGGTGAATGAGTTACCTGATCTTAATGGCCCCCCATTAAAGTTGGATGTGTTAACTGTGTGTGTGACCTTGACAACACAAATTTAAAGCAGTTCGTTAAAACTACCAAGTGGTATCAGGTCTGGTTAAACATTTTGGAGCTGATGCAAAAGTTGATTAAATCATTTCCTCGTTTGAAGTAATAAATAACGAGAAAAATAAACTCAACTGGTCAAAGGTAAAATAAACTCTCTCCAAATTCCAAATCATTTATCAATGGCTAAACTTTGTCTAAATTCATTGCACGTAAAATGCTACGTTCACACTGAACGCGTTTTTGAGCTACAGGACCGGCCGGTTTACATGCAAACATATGGTGGGCGTGCGTCTAGGGGTCTCGCGGCGCGTCAGGTCCGTTTAGCGCAGCGTGGAAGGTAGCGGTAGAGCATTTTCCGTGCATGCGGTGCGTCCAAAGCAGCCGACGCTCGAGTTAAAAAATCTGAACTTTTGCTGCTCGACGTGCCGCATCAGCCAATCAGAGAGAATCATTTTTCCTTGTGACAGTTTCCTGAATGTTGTCCACTAACCTGAAACAGACGGACAGGAGCTCTTTAGCTGAAATCGACCATCTGTAGCTGGTGTTCTGGCTAGAGATATCAGCACTGATGCAGGTCAGCAGCTTGTTAAACTGACCGCGGTGATAAAGGGATCCCCGATTAGTTGTAAGTAACATTAGACTTTATTTGATAAACATATATTTTAATTGTAAAATAAAGACTGTAAAAATACTGTAGGCTGTTTAGTTTTTTATAATTTTTAAACTAAAAGTTTAAAAATATATTACACAGATGGGGCCATTTACACACAAAGTATTCTGGGTAAATGATGACTAGGATAGGTCCTTGGTGTGAGGCTGCTAGTGAGCTATATCCACCCTGAAGGTTAATCTTGGACAATATCTGACGATTAGCTATTTCACATGAAACCAGAGAGCGTTGACAGAGAGGAGAAGGTAGAAATGACTCAGCCTGTAACTGAAAATATGGATGGAGGACAACAGAGCTGCTTCATGGAAGAAGAACCTCAGCTTAGCTTGCTAGCTTTAGCATTAGCCCCGACGCTATCACCATATATATGTATTAGCTCAGTGCTACACATTCTCCTCTTGTCACTGAGGTCCTCCATCCACATCCCTAGCTCATAGACTAACAGGCTAAGCTGAGGTTCTTCCATGAAGCAGCTCTGTTGTCCTCCATCCATATTTTCAGTTAAAGGCTGAGTCATTTCTACCTTCTCCTCTGTCAATGCTCCCTGGTTTCATTTCAAAGAGTCAATCGTCAGATATTGTTCAAGATTAACCTTCAGGGTGGATATAGCTCACTCACACTGAGGACCTATCCACATCATCATTTACCCAGAATGCTTTCTGTGTAAATAAAATGGCTCCGTCTGTGTTAAAATATATTTTTAAATATTTACAAAACCAAACAGCCTACAGTATTTTTACAGTCTTTATTTTACAGTTAAAATATATGATTATCAAATAAAGTCTAATGTTACAACTAATCAGGGATCCCATTAAACTGGGCTCGGGACAAAAAATAGTTTGTCAGCTCGCAGCTCCTGGAGTCGTGAAACTAACCGAACAAACCGCCTCTAAATTATCTGGTGAATTAATTATCTGCTGTGTGCAATGTTTGCTGGCTCTTTAGTAAATAAAGCAAAGCCATTTTCTTTATCTTATCTTTATTTCATCCGCTTAAGACAGACCGGAAAAAAACGGTGTGAACGTAGCATTAAACAAACAGTTCTGTCCAAAATAATTATTTTTGTTTTGATAAATAAAAATTAATCCTTGATAAATCTTTATTTTGTTTTAGATTGTACAACATTTAAATCTAAGTAACAACTCGTCCATTTGTTTTCCAAATTCTTCTTATTAAATTATGTTCTTGACTTTTACTTTTTTTAATCATTCGATTGATTTTTATTCTTTATTTTTGTAATAAAACTTCAAAAGACAAGTTTGGTTTCCTCCTCACTGAGTGGAAAGTTATTGGTTGTGAGAAAGGTTTCTGTTTTTTATATGAGTTCACACTTTGGTAGTTAAGAGTCTGATAATTAAAATGGTGTAATATATAACTGCTCTGGTGTTCCATCTTACACGAGAGCAAGCTTCAGTGTAGTAGAGAGGAAAAAACACCCTTCTGCATCATTATACATGCTTTTGGGGAAAAGGTCAGCAGGTTTCTGTTGTTTAATTTTAAACTGAATAACTAATAATCAACATGAAGGGATGGGTAATCTGCAGTGTTTGTGGAAAGCCTGATTTTATTTACAAGGTTTAAGTATTTGACTCTTTTTTGCTTCTTATATGTTTCCAAAAACATTTCATATCAGGATATTTTTCAAACTTTTTTTTTTCTGTTGACAGGTGATGACAAAGCGGGAGGATCTAGTGGTTGCCCCTGCAGGAGTGACGCTGAAAGAAGCAAACGAAATCCTTCAGAGGAGCAAGAAAGGTGACGCGGAAGCTATTTTTATTTTTATGAAGCGTGTTTTTGTTAGAGCTTAATAAACAAAAATCTAGATGCCACTAACTGTGCATGTGTTCACCTGACCGCTTCCTCTGGCAGGTAAACTGCCCATAGTGAATGAAGAAGGTTCCCTGGTGTCCATCATCGCTCGCACAGACTTAAAGAAGAACAGAGACTTCCCTCTGGCTTCCAAAGACCCTCGGAAACAGCTGCTGTGTGGCGCTGCCATCGGCACCCACAGTGACGACAAGTACAGGCTGGACCTGCTGGTGCAGAGCGGGGTGGATGTGGTTGTACTGGTGAGGACTTTTTATTGTTTGAAAGGTAGAGGGAGGCTTTATTTAAAATGAGCACAGCACTATTCGACAAGGATCAAATACATACTGAGCTTTGTGTTGGGGTGTGTTCTTCACCTAGTGTGTATGAGAGACGATCATTTCGCTGAATATTACAATTACTGTTCACAGTAGGAACTAGTTAAATTAAAAACAGAACTTATTTTTCTAATTAACGAAGAATAGTGTTGCTTCTGTGTCACCAGGACTCATCTCAGGGAAACTCAATCTACCAGATCAACATGATTAAATATATTAAGGAAAAGTACCCAGACCTGCAAGTCATCGGAGGCAATGGTAGCTACACTTGAACTATAAAAGCATTTAACTGAGCGTGACCCAGCCTCTAACAGTTTCTCTGTCTCCCTCTGTCGGTGGCAGTGGTGACTGCAGCACAGGCGAAGAACCTCATCGACGCAGGAGTGGATGCTCTGAGAGTGGGGATGGGCAGTGGCTCCATCTGTATCACACAGGAAGGTGAGTGACTGATGACTAAACTCTGCACAACACCATCTGCTAAGTTATCTTTTCACATCCACAAAGTTTCACTGGCAATTCAGAGCCTTAAAACCAACCATTGCTGTGGTTCAGTTGAGAAATGGATGTCTGGAGTTAGTTTTTAATTATATATTTGGGTGAATTATTTCATTGTGTTTAATTTGATATTGAGAAGAATCCAGTTACTGAGCTGTGATTATGTTGCTTTGTTGTTTTAGTGGAAGAGAACCAGATCCAAATCCCTCGTGTTAAATTTTAGCTGGCAGTGTAGCTTTGGGTCAGGATTTAGAGTTTTGATTCTCATAATGGTTTTAGTATCTCCTGTCTGATCACGTCTGTATTCATGGAGATTGTAAAAGAGTGTGAGTTAATCTACTTGTTCAGTGTGTAGTAAATGTTGTTTTTCCTCAGGAATTTGATCCTGACCTTGGATCTAGCAGTCGTACAGTTTTCATTGTTTCCAAGAAAGTAGCTAAATTTGAAATAGTTGCTTTAAACAAAGTTTGTATTTAGAATTTATATTTTTTTCTTCTGTGCTTCTTGTGTCTGACTTCAGTTCTCATCTAGATGATAATTTTAGCAGCATTATATCAATTTTCATTTTCTTTTGTCATTTTTTGTCTTTTGTTTTACATCTTCCTACCGTTTCCCTCCTTTCTGTCTGCTGTCTTCCCGTAAAATTCTGTCCCCCACCTTGTGTTGGTGTGAGTGTTTGTGTCCATGTCCAGCGACCCCCATTATCCCACCAGCTATAAAGCTCCACAGCCCCAAAACCCCAACCACTGTTACAGGATACTGCAGTAAGTCCCCCTTGCTGGCTAGTGTTGGGTCTGGATTGGCTCCGTTATTACTCCACCCCCTCCCACATCACAGCCTGCTGCGTTAGTTAACAGCTTTGCATCTGTAGATGTAGGTTTTATAAGCTGGGGTTTGGGGTTTTGGGGTTTTGCTTAGGGATGCACCGATTGCAGTTTTCTGGTCGATCACCGATCTTTACAAAGCCCGACCTGCCGGTTTTAATTTTGGCTGATACGATTTCTTTGGATAACTGATACTGTCAGGTGTTACACTTTCCATGTTCCTATCCTATTTTATTGAACAATACCTTTGAAATAGGAATGTGCGATATGGCAAAAAATTGATATCACGATAAACATTATGATGAGTGGCGGTAACGACATATATCATGATATAAAACTTATAATAGAAAATAAATAAATCACACATGAAATAAAACTTATAATAGAAAATAAATAAATCACACATGATATAAAACTTATAATAGAAAATAAATAAATCACACATTAATTGAGTGGAATAAATACGTATAGGTAAAAAAATTTAGACATTAAACTCTCCTTTTTTAAGGGACACTCTAAAGTCTCCCATAAAAATCTAAATTTAAGGGAGATCTACCTGGTTAAATCATATATACATACTATAACTTTAATGTACCAGATATCTGCATCCATTGGATGTTGTGTTTGGAATCACCTGCTTCGTTTTAAGGTGGTAAAACAAATTCCTTGTATTTATTCCTTTCTACACTTTGCAGATTATTTTTTCTGCACTCCACCTGTTTAATCTGTGCGTGCTCCAGCGGGGTGACAATCATTATAGTCGCGCTTTGGAGTGCGCGCGCATTCGGCCGTGAGTCGTCGCGCTATGACCGCAGGAGAAACGAGGTCCAGACTGATTTTTGTGCGTCCCACCTGAGCACTGACTTCACCTGCACTGACAGTCGCCTCGCTGCGTGGAAATGAATGGAGAGCGAGCGACGTCGCCTCCCGTGTGTCGAGCCCTTCACACATGCCTCGGCGCACGCTCCTCCCGCAGCAGGCAGTGTGGTCGGTCGGTCGGTATCCGACCGGAGGACGTGCCGTCACGTAAACATGTAAACAGTTTGGTGTTCATTTTCACACACCTGAACCAGGCCTGGATAAGTTTTTTCCCCTCTTCATTTGCACTCTCAGCCTCGCTGCTTCCCGCTTCCTCTGTTTTGACTCCAGCCAGTTACATCATCAAAAAGAATTGCATGGTTGGCCGGTAGACTACAGATCTCTATCATAGGACAAATTTATACCATTTCTACCGTATATCGTTTATATCGCGCATTCCTACTTTGAAACAATACAAAACTTGTTTTAACTGGTATTACGTAGTGCTCACAGCAAGGCAAAAGGGGACAGTGGCTGGTTTTCAGACCTTTTGTGGAGGTGGATGAGAAGCTGATCTTTTCCAACAGTTATCCAAGTATTGGCCGGTCTCACAAAATTTATGAAATTGGGGCCGATAAATCGGCCGGTGCACCCCTGGTTCTGCTCATACTCATGTCCACATTAATCTATTAATAAACTCGTGAATGATCTTCTTCCACATTACTGACCTTCTGGTGTCTGGTTTTCATGATGTCATTGGATTGAGACTATGCTTAGTGTTTAGATACTAAAGGGCCAGATAAACTCTTTTATTTTTAGCTGCTTTGCTGACCTCCATGACTGCAGTTCTCATCTAGCATGAATTTTCTGACATTGAATTTATCAGCAAAGTAAATATAATAATGTAATATAATTTGAATTTAGAGGGGGCTTTTAATTAGCAGATGTCAATTCTTGGATAAAAATGAATGTAGCTTCATATTTACATTTTAGATCAGTAGCTTGTCAGAAAATTCAGAGTTATGCTGAAATAATTTCAGCCTTTTTTAAAAGTTGATATACTTAAAATATGCTGAAATGTAAATTCTGATTAGATGACAGTAGATAGTCAGGTTTGTCTATATTAATAAACACTGGAGTGTCATTAGAAACATCAGCAGTGGTAAAATTGCAGGAAAGCAAAACAAAGTTTGAATTGTTTGCGTTGGTCCTTAATGTCTTTGTCGTGCTGCTGTGAAAGACCAGCTGAAATATTGTTTTTCAAATTTGGCGACTTGCTGTGTTCCGCTAAATGGAGGCAGAGGAATGTGTGATTCTGGGTTCAGACTTTTATGAATAATATGTTTTTCTGCTGATGCGGCAAGTTTAACTTCCTCGTTTTATCCAGCATTAAGAAACATATTGTTCATTCAATGTGTGATATTTTTTGTTTTAGTTTTCCCTGTGGCTTCCTGGGTCTTGTTGATGCATGTACTCACTCACCACTCATTTGAAACCTTATGTGGTTTATTTGAAATCAAAAGACCAACCTTCTGAGAAATCCCTTTTTTCCACCACTTTAAACAGAAAATGTTAGAGCCATAATTAAAAACTATATAAAAAACATCTGGCTGTTTTTTTTTATGTAAATCCTTTTCTATCAAGTAGACTTTAGAGTTTAAAACAATAATTTAAAGCTGTTCAAGATTATTTATCTTTTCTTTCTCCACAGTGCTGGCGTGCGGCAGACCCCAGGCCACGGCTGTTTATAAAGTTTCAGAGTACGCTCGACGTTTTGGTGTCCCCGTCATTGCCGACGGTGGCATCCAGACTGTTGGACACATCGCTAAAGCACTCTCACTGGGAGCCTCGACAGGTAAGGTGAAGTATTGTGTAATTTATTTTAAAACTGAATAAATGTCTTACTATCAGTGTAAGGATGGTTGTACTTTATAGCTTATCTAAGACACTAACATTGACAAAAACTGCATTTAAACCTTTCAGGCAGCTGTAGCGGAGTCATCCTCCTGTTAAATGATGGCACAGATTGTAGTGTAAAGCTCTGAGTATCCTGGTTTGATAGAAAGGTGCTGTATAAGTACAATTCATTTGCCATAACTGGTAAAACTTCACAGTTGAACAGAAAACTGATCACTATAGGTGTAAGAAAAATTGGTACACTGAAATATCGCAACATTTCATTACCCAATACTGTATCGAGTCTCTGAAGCACTGTAGCAATTTTTTATTAAGGCTTAAAATTAGGGATCCAAGTTTTAGATTAATGGATTAATCTAAAGTTGATTGATCTTATCAATCGATTAACGATTAATTGATAAGCGGCCATTTTCCTAAAAACCTTACATTTCTCTTGAATCAAGGGTCTTTCTATAACATGAAGGGCTAATTTTTTTTTTACACTAAAAAGTAGTACAGTATTTTATAAAATTTATTGTGCCAGCTGTATTAAACACTGACTGAATAAACAGAAAATTGTGGATTTCTCACACATTATTAAACTTAGACACTGTATTTATAAATTATAACAAAACAGGAATACTAGTTGGAAATAAAAGGGGGAAAAAAGGTAAAACACTTACGCCACCCTGAACGATAAATATGAAACTAACATTTAAACACAGGGTAATATTTTAATCTAAAGATTTACTTAAAAACAAACTATAAACATGACCTGAGAGGGGTGAACATACAAATAAGTACTGGAACTGTGTTTATATTCCCTGTGGTTCTGTCCAGACTGGGCTGATTGACGTCAGTAACTGTTCATTTGATTGGTTCACTGGCCGGGCTATGTCATACAGATGAGATTAACTTCATGTTAATTATTTGTAGTGACTAACTTTTTTTTTTTTGTTTTTGTTCTTTCACACGGAGTTAAACTCTACAAGTAGCTAAAGTTAGCTTACCATTCTCCCTATCATCCTGCTCTCTTCTTTAGCGTCATACTGCTGGATGATCTGGTACAGCCTTCTGTACTTTTCCTTTGAGTTTGGTTTAGTCCATTATTATTGTTGTCGCAAATAAAACTAAACATGATTTGCGTGTTTAATTATGACGCCGCCCACATGGAGGCTAGCACCGGGGTAGAGTAAGGCCAGGTTGAGAGCGGCGCCCTCTACTGGATGTAGTCAAAACTACACTGAAATAAGGTTAATCAAATGGAAGAAATTTTAATCTAATAAAACATTCAACAATTAATTGTATGATTAAATGTTTGCATCCCTACTTAAAATGTAAACTTTCATGCCAGATCATTTTTTGTGTTGTAATTTAGCCACAGACCGCTAGTTAGCAGCAGTCAGACAACAGTTTGGCTCCTCCACTCCTGAAGAACCAAAGAGTATAACACTAGCACAAACTTTAGCACTAAGTACTGATGGCTCAATCTGAGCAGATTAGACCTGCTGTCTTCAAAGCTGAGGTAGGATTGCCAATGCTCTTTCTCCCGACTGCAGCCTGCAAGCAGAGCTGTCGCGGTGCAACAGGCAGGTAGGCATTTGTCTAGCACCCCGAGCTGAAGGGAGACCCTAATAGACAGTACTGAAGTCACCAAATGCAACGACCTGAAACATTTCACAGCTCTGATCATTGAAGACTCGTATTAGTTAAATGCCTCAGACACCATAAAGGTTTCTTCTTCTTACAAAAGTAAAAATACTGATTTTTATTTCACATTAAAATTTTGTGCATGAACAGAATTTCTCTTAATGTGTGGTGCTTATTATTTATTTATTTATTTTGTCTAGTAATGATGGGCTCTCTGTTGGCTGCAACCACTGAAGCTCCTGGTGAATATTTCTTCTCTGATGGCATCAGGTTGAAGAAATACCGCGGCATGGGCTCCCTGGATGCCATGGACAAAAACCTTGGCTCTCAGACCAGATACTTTAGGTAAGGAAACTACCGTGTTTGGGGGGAGGGGGGGAAGGGTCCACTTTGCGTGTTATGACTTCTGCTGTATAAAATCCTCTGCCAGTTCTGAACACCTCTTCCTCATTTCATTTTCAGTGGTTTCTAAACGTCACAGTTTTGTGGTGATAAATGATGAGCCTGCTAGAAAAGAGGGGCAGACATTTAAAAGCCTCTAAAAGACAATTTAATGAAAAGGCCACAATTGTAAGAAATTGTTTTAATGCAATAACAAATTTAAATTAACTAGGGTATGAGTAAACAGAAGTTAAATATTTGTTTTTCACATGGCTCCGCAATTCTTCTGCTTTAACGTTCTAAAGAAGTTGTGTTGTTTCTATGATAAGAGCTAATGCCACCACTCCACTCACTTTTTATATCTTCCTGTTTCCTCGCAGCGAGAGCGACAAGATTAAAGTAGCTCAGGGTGTCTCGGGAGCGGTGCAGGACAAGGGCTCTATCCACAAGTTTATTCCCTACCTGCTGGCAGGAATTCAGCACTCCTGTCAAGACATTGGTGCCAAAAGCCTCACTCAGCTCAGGTAAAAACACTTCGTCTCTGTAGCTCAAATGGTTTGCACCAAAAAGATAAATCCAAATAGATCTATCCTGGTTACTGACCTTTTTTACAGGTACTAATGTGCATGCATGAAATTGAGCACCGCCTGTTCGGCGCTCTGCTCTAGTCTTTACGCCTTGTTTTTTCCTTTTTAATTGACTTTTATATCCAGTTGTACTTTGTTTTATTGGTATTTTACATTGTGAGAAAATGTCCTCAACATGCAGTGCCTTCAGAGCACAGCTGAAACATGAGTAGATATGAACACTGCTTAGATTAAGTGTATTTTAACAAATGAGAAATAGGCATGGATATATCAAGACCACAATGCATTTCACAATGACGACATAGCATGTACAATAGTATCTGTAAATACTTTAATAAATAGCTGGTTAGAAGTGTGCTCTATTTAGTTTTTATTTTAACAGCTTTCAGTTTTTAGCAATCTTCACCTCATAATTTTATTGCTGGTTTTGAGTCTGTTACATTTGAAAATACAGCACAAACAGTGAAATATGCATTTTATAATTTGCTTCAAAGAGGCCAAATATGAAGCTGTCAAGCTCTGAAATTTGACAAAATTGTTACTGCTTTAGATCAGCAGGGCCACTAATGTGAATGTCTTAGTTCCCCTGCTCCTCAAGCCTGTTAATCACTTATTCATTCATACCTGAGAGGATTGGCCACTGCTGGTTTAGATGATAGAAGGGAAATTGAGGGTTTGTTGCACATCACAAGTTTTCCCAATATCATGCGGCTCTTTTTGAAGTCCGAGCTTGATTCCTCGTGTAGCGAGGAGTTGGATTACAGCTTTAGTTTTACTTTTCTTTGAGTTTAAATTGAACCGTTTCTTCCTCTTTAACGCTGGTATCATAAATTTGTTCCCCTCTCCTCAGAGCGTTGATGTACTCTGGAGATCTGAAATTTGAAAAGAGAACAGCGTCAGCTCAGATGGAGGGGGGAGTCCACAGTATGCACAGGTACACCAAGTAACTGTTTTATTTTCACAGATTCGTTCATTTTTAAACCTGGTTCCAGATTCCATTCTCATCAAAAGTCTTAGTTTCATGTCATTACCGCAGTCAGACAAGCCTCGAGTTCAACTTCCTCCATTTTGGCTGTGTTAACAGAAACTTCTTCTCTTCTTTCTCCCACAGTTATGAGAAACGACTCTTTTAAACAAAAGCAAGCATCCAGATGGAGAATGCTTCCAGCAGATACAGCGGGTAAAATAAGTATTGAACACGTCAACATTTTTCTCAGTAAATATATTACTAGAGGTGCTAATGTCATGAAATTTTCACCAGATGTTGGTAACAGCCCAAGTGATCCATACATACAAAGAAATCAA